CACCTTTCCTCATTACCTCAGTTTTCGTGGTGTTAATTCTCATGTCATATTTTTTGCAGATTTGACGATGTAAGTAGTCAGTATGGTGTTGTAAATTCTGTTCTTGGTGGTATACTAGACACTGATCGTCTGCAAAAAGAAGTTAATTGATCTTTGCAGTGTCTGTATTTGCCTCCTGTGATATTCTATTCCTGTAAGTAATGAATAGCAATGATGAGAGGAAACAGTCCTGTCTGACACGTGATGAGATGGGAAACCAGTCTGCCATTTCTTCTGCTGTTCTTACAGTGCACCGACTCTCATGGTAAAGAGCCATGATGTTACCCAACAGTTGATCTTGAATACCATAATCCTCTATAGTTTACGTCTGTTGACTCGATTGAATGTCTTTTCTTGATCCATAAATATAAGGTGTTGACTTCAATCATATTCGATAGACTGCTCACATATCTGCCTTAAAGAAAATATTGCATCTGTACAGCTCTTTCCCTTCCTGAAACTCAACTGTCTCTTAATTAACTGGGGCTTTAGTACTGGTTGAGCTCTAAGTTCCAATATTTTTGAAAGCATCTTTCCAGTATGGCTCAGAATGGAGATGCATCTGTATATTTCACAATCTCTTCTGGTTTCTTTATGCTTCCAGATGGGGACAATGATTGTTCTCTGCCAGTCACTTGGAACTTTCACTGCCTCCCAAACCATGTTAAAGATTCTGGTTAATGAAGCTGTTGCTGTTGTCTAAATGCAAGGAGCATTTCTGTTGTAATACCATCTATTCCCGCTGCCAATTTTTTTTTTTTTTACTTTGTTCTACTTTTTTACTTCAGAGTTCAGTATCTTTGGTTCATGGTCATTTGCAAATGTATTTTCGTTTGGTACTTTATCAGGTGTTCCACAGTTTAGAAGCTCACTGAAATATTCCTTCTATCTGTCTTTAATATCTTGACTGCTGGTGAGTGGTTTTTTACACTTGCTGTTAATAACAGTGGAGGGGTTAAACTGTTTTTTCTCTCAGTCTCATTGCTTTGTTGAGACTTCTGTAAAACATTCCTGGTGACTCTGTGCATAATTTTGCTTCTTGTTCTCACTAGTCTGCCTAAGATTCTGATTTTGCCGCTTTCACTTTCCTTTTGCTGTCTCTTCTCGCTTTTCTATAGCTGGTGTAGTCTTCATCTGATTTTGTCTTCTGCCACTTATAAAACCATTGTTTCCCCTTGATAGAAATTTTAACATGTTCATTCCACAACATTGCATGTTTTCTATGAGTGCCCAGCTTTTTGAGACTACAGTTTTCTTTCACTGTGTTCAGGATGCAGGTTTTAGAAGTCCTCCACTTCTCTTCTATGTTTTTTGTGCTTCTGTAAGGGTGTTGAAGGAGATTCTGACTGCTCTGTCTATTTCCTACGCAACTTCTTTATCTTTCAGTTTCACAATGTTTATTACCTTTGTTTGTTGAATTGGTTTCTTGGTGTTTATGAAGCAAAAGTACCACTGGTCTATGGTCTGAATCTTTTAGTGCATTAGGAATGGCCCTGGTATTATTTATTTTCCACCTCTCTCTCCCTCTTGTCAACAACAACAACAAAAAATCAATCTGTGATGCTTGATTTAAGTTGTTCCATCTATACCATGTTAATATCTGACTTCTTCGACGTTGATAAAAGGTGTTACTATCATGTTCTGCACATAGATTCAGCAGTTCTTCTCCGTTAGAATTACATTCAGTTGTTGTATCGCTGAAGGGTCCCAGATATCTCTACCACGGCGTTTTGCGTTCGCCAACTCTTCCATTAAAATCCCCCAGTATGTTCAAGCTGTTAGTATCTTTAACTTTCACTAGTGCATGGTATACAAGCACACACAATAATAAATGATTAAATACAATGCAAAAAGCAACTGTTATGTCAAATTATAAACATTATATACCTAACATTAGGCACATTATGAATATGAAAAACAATCATGTGCCACAACTATAGATGTAACACACAAGACCCCATCCACAAAGGACACTGGTTTATAGTTTACTATTTAATCATACTGTGGCTAAAAGTAACTGTTTGATACGTTGGAACGACGTGTCTGGAATTTTCTCCTGTTCGTTTCGCATCAGAAAAGCTTCACCTTGAGTTACAGTTCACTTTAGGCCAAAAAGTATCACCAAACATCGCGACTGGGCCAGTGCTTCAATCCTGTAATTACAAATACTAGCGTGTATCAGTTTGCAGGTACATCTCACGAGAAGCAAGAAATAAAGTAAACCACTATTGTAAATTTCTTGCTGTGTTTAGCAATAGTTTTAATTATGTCTGACAGCTGCATATATGTAGTTATGGTTGTGTCTGACAGCTGCATATATGTAGTTATGGTTGTGTCTGACAGCTGCATATATCTGGTTATGGTTGTGTCTGACAGCTGCATATATGTAGTTATGGTAGTCTGACATATGCATATATGTAGTTATGGTTGTTTCTGACAGCTGCATACATGTAGTTATGGTTGTTTCTGACAGCTGCATATATGTAGTTATGGTTGTGTCTGACAGCTGCATATATGTAGTTATGGTTGTGTCTGACAGCTGCATATATGTAGTTTTAATTGTGTCTGACAGCTGCATATATCTGGTTATGGTTGTGTCTGACAGCTGCATATATCTGGTTATGGTTGTGTCTGACAGCTTCATATGTGTAGTAATGGTTGTGTCTGACAGCTCCATATATCTGGTTATGGTTGTGTCTGACAGCTGCATATATGTAGTTATGGTTGTGTCTGACAGCTGCATATATGTAGTTATGGTTGTGTCTGACAGCTGCATATATGTAGTTTTGGTTGTGTCTGACAGCTGCATATATCTGGTTATGGTTGTGTCTGACAGCTGCATATATCTGGTTATGGTTGTGTCTGACAGCTTCATATATGTAGTAATGGTTGTGTCTGACAGCTCCATATATCTGGTTATGGTTGTGTCTGACAGCTGCGTATATTTGTTTGTGGTTGTGTCAGACAGCTGCATATATCTGGTTATGGTTGTGTCTGACAGCTGCATATATTAAGTTATGGTTGTCTGACAGCTGCATACATGTAGTTATGGTTGTGTCTGACAGCTGCATATATGTAGTCATGGTTGTGTCTAACAGCTGCATATATGTAGTTATGGTTGTGTCTGACAGTTGCATATATGTAGTTATGGTTGTGACTGACAGCTGCATATATGTAGTTATGGTTGTCTGACAGCTGCATATATGTAGTTATGGTTGTGTCTGACAGCTGCATATATGTAGTTATGGTTGTGTCTGACAGCTGCATATATCTGGTTATGGTTGTGTCTGACAGCTGCATATATGTAGTTATGGTTGTCTGACAGCTGCATATATGTAGTTATGGTTGTGTCTGACAGCTGCATATATGTAGTTATGGTTGTGTCTGACAGCTTCATATATGTAGTAATGGTTGTGTCTGACAGCTCCATATATCTGGTTATGGTTGTGTCTGACAGCTGCGTATATCTGTTTGTGGTTGTGTCTGTCAGCTGCATATATCTGGTTATGGTTGTGTCTGACAGCTGCATATATCTGGTTATGGTTGTGTCTGACAGCTGCATATATGTAGTTATGGTTGTCTCTGACAGCTGAATATATGTAGTTTTGGTTGTGACTGACAGCTGCATATATCTAGTTATGGTTGTGTCTGACAGCCCCATATATCTGGTTATGGTTGTGCCAGACAGCTGCATATATCTGGTTATGTCTGACAGCTGTATATATATGGTTATGGTTATGTCTGACAGCTGCATATATCTAGTTATGGTTGTGTCAGACAGCTGCATATATCTGGTTATGGTTATGTTTGACAGCTGCATATATCTAGCTATGGTTGTATCTAACAGCTGAATATATCTGGTTTTGGTTGTGTCTGACAGCTCTACCTGTCTGGTTTTGGTTGTGACTGACAGCTCCACCTATCTGGTTATAGTTGTGTCTGACAGCTCCACCTATCTGGTTTTAGTTGTGTCTGACAGCTCCACCTATCTGGTTTTGGTTGTGTCAGACAGCTGCATATATCTGGTTTTGGTTCTGTCAGACAGCTTCATATATCTGGTTTTGGTTGTGTCTGACAGCTCCATAAATCTGGTTATGGCTGTGTCTGACAGCTGCATAAATCTGGTTTTGGTTGTGTCTGACAGCTCCACCTGTCTGGTTTTGGTTGTGGCTGACAGCTCCACCTATCTGGTTTTGGTTGTATCTGACAGCTCCACCTATCTGGTTTTGGTTGTGTCTGACAGCTCCACCTATCTGGTTATAGTTGTGTCTGAGAGCTCCGCCTATCTGGTTTTGGTTGTGTCTGACAGCTCCACCTATCTGGTTTTAGTTGTGTCTGACAGCTCATCCTATCTGGTTTTGGTTGTGTCTGACAGCTCCACCTATCTGCTTATAAGTGTGTCTGACAGCTCCATAAATCTGGTTTTGGTTGTGTCTGACAGCTCCACCTATCTGGTTTTGGTTGTGTCTGACAGCTCCACCTATCTGGTTTTAAGTGTGTCTGACAGTTCCATAAATCTGGTTTTGGTTGTGTCTGACAGCTCCACCTATCTAGTTTTAAGTGTGTCTGACAGCTCCACCTATCTGGTTTTGGTTGTGTCTGACAGCTCCACCTATCTAGTTTTAAGTGTGTCTGACAGCTCCACCTATCTGGTTTTGGTTGTGTCTGACAGCTCCACCTATCTGTTTATGCTTGTGTATGACAGCTCTACATATCTTATTATACTTGTGTATTACAGCTCCACAAATCTGATTATAGGTGTATGTAATAGCTCTATACATCGCGTTACAACTGAGTATGACAGCATAATTTTCTGTCTGTATTCGTGTCTCTAACAGATCCGCAAATCTGGTTTAAGATGTTGCTAGCAGTTCCACACAGCTCGTTTTAGTTACTCCTGTCAACTTCACATCTTCACTTACCTGGTCATCGCAACGTGTGCTCATCCTCTGACCTGCACCTTAATCATCATCTGGCCGAGAAGAGGGCCCTGCAGCTTCTTCTTGCTGCAGATGATTGGGATAATTTTTAAGAATACAAATAGACGAAACCACTGCTTCATATAATTATAATTTAAAAAAGAATATTACTGTCATCATCCTACTTTTGGGAATTTTATATATCACATGGGGCTCACATTCTTTTGCTCCATTCCGTTCAATCCTGCGCAAACTTTTCAGTATTATCGATATAAACCAGTCTCATACTTTTGGCCTCTTTTGTTGTTTGTCATAAGGTTTCTTTTGTACGTTTCCTCAGTCAGTTTTTCTCCCCCATTTTGGTGCCTGTTTGGTGATTCTAAATCCACTCATCCTTATGCAGCGTCTGATAAACTGTCATCTTCTTTATCTGTTAAGAAATGTGCTTATCAGAGAGCGGCTGTTTGCAGATGATGCCGCAATACTACCTCCTCAGTGGAGGAGCTGCAATGTTTACTGTCTGCCTTTTGCCAATGAATTTGGACTACCAGTCAGCAAAAAGATGAAATAGGTTATGGTTAAAGGTGTTAATAACAGACCTACAGTCTTCATTGACGGTAAAGAGCTGGAGACAGTAGACCATTTTACCTATCTGGGTTCCACAGTGAATAACAAACTATCTCTGGACAAAGAAATCAACATCAGGATAGGTAAGGCAGCAACAGCAATGAGTAGATTGACAAAAGAGAATTTGGGAGAAAAGAAAACTCACAATTAAAACAAAAACTATTGTCTATCAGGCTTGTGTTCTCAGCATTCTGCTTTATGGCAGAGAAACTTGGTCAACCTATTCGCACCAGGAGACACGGCTAAAGGGAGTCGCCCTGGCCGAGCGGCTAGACGCTCACCGCGGAACGGAAGGTTGTGGGTTCGCTCCCTGGCGGAGCCAGACTTTTTCAAAAATGACGTTGGTTCTCACGTCGAACCAGCCTTGAGTGGGTACTGGGTGCAGTCCCGGGAAGTGAAGGCAGCCGGCGTGATGCTGACTACATCACCCATCTTGTGCCGTTTTGTCTATAAAAATATAGGTCTAGCCCTATATGCCCCATAGCCTAAGGTTTGGACAAGGGCTCTTTTGAGTAGTTGTTTGAGACGGCTAAATGGCTTTCACATGCGATGCCTAAGAAAAATACTTGGCATTAAATAAAGGAAAATATCATAAATACTGAGGAACAGGAAAGAGCAGGTACTACAACAGTCTTCTCAATGCTTAGTCTACGAAAGGTCTGGTGGCTGGGTCACACCTGGAGAATGGAGGATGGCAGAGTCCCTAAGGACATCATTTATGGCGAATTTAAGACAGGAAGAAGATGCCGACCTCTACTGCGATATAAAGATGTGTGCAAGTTCAAGAACTTTCCAGGCTCATATTGGACTAATCAGACACCTTTGTACTCATAATCATTGATCATTAGTATTTTGGACGAAAAGTGGTCTTCATCACTCGTGATGGACGAACAACAAAACACGATTAGACATACATTTTGGCGGTCAAGCTGGACTATTTCGAGGCCCACCAGTGGGCCAGTGCCCATAGGTTGTGGAACGCTGGTCAGGACCCAAGCTCTCAGGTCTAAGTTACCGTTTGAATTTTGAGAAACAAATCTGGTTGCATCATTTTTTTTAAAAGGGCTGATGAAAACTGTTATTCGCAATTACATTCCATCACTGAAGATTGTGGCCTGATAAATCGGTCTTCTTCTTCTGCCTTTCTGGCCCCCAGTGGAGTATAGGCCCTCAACAAACTCACGCCAAGTCGTTCTATCCTTAGCTATCGCATTGCAGCTCTACCCATGCCCTCCCCCATCTTTTTAACTTGACTCTCTAGCTTCCTTTCACATGTGGTTTTTTGTGTGTGGGTTGGTCTTCCTTTATTTCTATGCCCATGTGGGTTTCAGTGCACAGTCATTATAGTTATATTATTCTCATGTTTTCTCAACGTATGTTTTATCTAACGCCAGCGTCGTTTCTTCAACTCTTGATCCACTGGAACTTGTTTAGTTCTCTCACAAAGTCCTGGATTAGATATTTCGTCATACCATTTAATTCCCTCAATTCTGCGCAGGCTCCGGTTAATGAAATTTTGTAGATAAAGCTGTACTGTACCACATTTATTTCTGTTTATTCACATAAAGTTCCTAGGGTAACAGTTTTCAAAAAGTCTAAGCCATCTTAATTTGTTGATGTAGTTTGTTGGGTGTGTTGGAAAATGAACAGTCTGATAGACTGGCTGGTTAAGCATAACTTAGTGGAATAAGTTAAGGCAGACGTGGTTAGGGCCTTGTGGGAGAATGTGCAGAATTCAAAGGAGCAAAATGGATCACCACAGTCTGGTGAGGCTGAGGCAGTGGGGAATGACGATGGGATCTTGCCGATAAGTGACGCTCAGAGGAAAGGCAAGACGGACGCATAATCAGAATGCTACTTCACCCATTGAACTCTGCGCTGGCTGCCGAAGATGGGAACGAAGTGCTATTGGGAATGCCCCGTGTGCTGTGATGTCGGTTCTTGAATCAACTCAGTTCATCTTACCTCAGCGTGGTTTGTGTTGTGAGCTGCACATTTGGAAAATAGCAAGTGGCCTTTTGCGACACAACTGGTGATGACCTGTATGATTAATCGCATGTCCAACTTTTGATCTGTTGTAAATACTGTTTCATCGAGGAGGAACTGCATTTCTAGTGTCGGACTGTTTGTAGAGGCACGTCTGATGGCTGCCACCACCGCCACCAGCACAACTACTACTACAGCTGCTATCACCGTTGCTGATACTGCTGTTGTTTTTACTGCTGCTGCTGCTACCACCACCCTACTACTACTACTACTACTACTACTACTACTACTACTACTACTACTACTACTACTACTACTACTACTACTACTACTACTACTACTACTACTACTACTACGCTTGTTGTTGCTGCTACTATTACGGCTGCTGCTGCTATCACCATCACCACTACTACTGCTTCTACTGCTATCAACAATAACCATCAGCAAGTGACGGCATGAAATCAACAGCATTTTTTTTGTTCAGTCTGTATTATTATCTGAGGCAGGCAGATAACAAGCGACTGTGTCTATCCCATAAACAAAGACAATATGTCATTAATTATAACTAATGCAGCATTAACCGATAATACCTGTGTGACAAGGTTTTTCTTTTTCCACTTGTCAAATGCTTGCAGAATTGCTTTCTCTTTGTTTTCATCCGTTTTCGTGATATAAATGCGCAGAATTTCCTCTTTAAAGACGTAGTGTTTCAGAACTGTGGATATCTGAAATAGATATTATAAATAATATTTTAAAAATAAAAAAATAAAAAATAAAAAAAGTAAGCCCACTCTGGCACCTAAAGACCGCCCTTCGGTAACGGCTAGACGTTCGCCTGCTGATCCGACGGTCCTGGATTCAGGTCCTCACAGAGCAGGACTGTTTTCAAAAGGTGACCTTGGCTTCCAGGTTACCCCAGGCTTAAATGAGTACCAGGTAAAGTCCTGGAAAGTAAATGCGACCTAACGAGTGCCGACTGGTCTATAAAATCTAGGTTTAGCTCTATATGCCCAATACACATGAAGGCGTGGAAAACACACACACACACACACACACACACAAATACACTCTCCAGGGGCACCGTTACAAAGAGAACATCAGACGTAATAATAATAATAATAATAATAATAATGTGATGCTTGACACACACACACACACACACACACACATACACACAAGATGGGAGGTAAACAATTATCTACAGTTTTGAAACAGTTCTTGCATTGTCCACACTAATTATGTCTTCGCCTATATTATTGTTATACCGCTGTGGTATTGTTATGAAAGTTTGATTCTAATTTTTTTTTCTTCCTTTTGTTGCTGATAGATCATGGCCATTCCGTTAGAAATCTGCACCAAAGGAACAACGAATACTGATAACTATTCCTCTCGCTGGAGGATGTCAAAGGTTCAGAAGTTCATGAAAGACTAACACTGCAATATAGGGGAAGAGCACTATGAGGTAATTTTTTGTGAGAATCGAGGAGTTTAAAAATGTGTCGAACAAGTGTTTAGCATGAAGAGAGAGAGAGAGAGAGAGAGAGAGAGAGAGAGAGAGAGAGAGAGAGAGAGAGAGAGAGAGAGAGAGAGAGAGAGAGAGAGGTGGCTATCGACTTCCGCCTCACCTGGACTTGGACTTCTAGTAATGGCCCCTGGTCTCTGGGTAGTGAGATCGGACGCCTGTGTGTATTGTTGCGCATGTAAAAAATCCTTTGGCAGTTGGAAATCGAAAAGAGTAGCATAAGGGCGCTGCCTGTGCAAAATTTAGAGTTAAAAATATACTTTCAGGATCCTCGCCGGTGCTTTAGAGCCTGTGCATTGTGCTGATCTTCTTCGGACTCAGACTTGAGTAAGATGAAGAACGAAGCACTTATGGGCTACTACCCGTGTGCCACGATGTTGATCTGTGGTTCAAAACATGAAAACCTCAAAACCTCAGACTTGGACGCGCAAAATGCGGTGCAAAAGTGGCTTCACGGCCAACGGTAAATATTTTTTTTGGACAGAATACTTAAGCTTGTTAATCGTTTGGGCAAAGTGCATTAATAAGGAGGGAACCTACACAGAAAAATGATGTGCTAAGTAAAAACATTTCTTCTTCTCTTAATCACGCCTTGTGGCGTTAGTGGTTATGCTCTATCCACAACCTTCTGTCTCCAGTACTTTCAGTCAACTCTGACACAGATGATCCTATATGCCTTGATGTCAAACTGTCCAGCATCTTTTCTCTCGATCTCCCTCTGCCTCTCCTCCATTTTAACTTTCCCACTGTCACGATGTACTCCTCATCATCACATGACCAAAGAATGCAGATAGTCTCTTTGTGATGTAGGCAATCAGTTCTCTTCTTGAGTCAATTTCTTTCAAGACATCTGCATTACTCTTATTATCTGTCCAAGGTATTTGTAACATTCGTCTATAACACCTCATCTTCGCGGCTTCCAGTAAACGATAGGGTCATGCAAACAAATTTTAGAATTAAAAGTGTAAATAATGTTTAACTCTCCCTCGTATATATATCTGGTCACACGACCATTAAACCTGACTCTAAATGTGCGAAATCTAAGCACTGTACAACTCATAGGTAGTATATGCACTAAATTCAAAGCGTGTTTTTATCTAGATGAAAAAATGTGCCGATACACACGATAATGTGTCTTTAAAAATGTGTAGATGTTTACCACAAGATGCCTATTATATTACCGTTGAAAAAAAAAAAAACATGATTTCTAAGAAAAAGTGCCGGTGCTAAGTACCGTTGCATACCTGCAGAAAAAAAAAAACTTTGGTTGGGACTAGATTAACTTTTCTAGTTGTATGCGAATTTACCAGGGTTAGTCAAAGACTATGCACGCTACAGGTTATATCAGTGATTCCCAAACTTGTGCGCTGCGGCGCCCCGGGGAGCAGCGACCTCTTCACAGGGGCGCGGCAAAATATTCAAAGATACACGGCCTTAATTTTTTTTAATCTATTACATACGATTAGTCATACTTTTCCCTAGTAAAGGGCGCCGTGGACAATTTTTTTTAATTGAAAAAGGCCCTGCGACTAAGAAAAGTTCGGCAAACCCTGGGTATTATTACAGTTGATGTTAATTGTTACAGCATTCTCCCCATCGGTCCATCGAGCTTAAACCTGTCCCATCAATGCATTGTTTGGAGGACTCACAATTATCCCCAAAAAAAGAAGTGAAAACAAGGGCGCATTTGTGCTTAACAGCTAAACTTAGAGCACTTTTAAAACAAGGAAATAGAAAAGCTAGATGGTAGATTAACAAAGTATATTAAAAAGCAGGAATACTGTCGAAAAAGAAGCACACACTCACGATGTATTTGTATTTTCTAGAACTTGATTGGGTACAACTCACGTTTTCAGGCCCAGGGACACCTTGATTGGTCGTTCATTGATGCATCTCAACATTTCACAAACGCGACTTTCTCTTACAGGGGTGTCAGGTTGTCTTCACCTCTGCCATTACGCGTGCTCTATATTACAGGATGTCAGCAATTTCAACGACCTAAGAATATCTAGAAGTGACTCTATCACTCCACCATCCATGGGCTCAACCGAGATACTGCTCTCAACAGAAGACACCCAGACACCCCTGCCATTTAGAATAACGCGTCTGAAAGGTTAAGACGCTTCAATCAACGGCCAATCACGGTGTCACCTCGGCCCGAAAACGCGAGTTGTACCGTTGATTGCAATAAATTATATACCCAGAGTAAATGTGACTATTCTTGTACAGGTTAAAGTATTGTCAATTATAATGTTATTTAAATTTAACACATGAAACCTAAAGTTGGAGAACCACTAAAGATATGGAACGGGAGTTGAATGCTCTCGAAAACACATGTCCGAGGGAAATGATAAAGAAAAAATGGGATGAATTAAAAACGAGTGAAGAAATAAGAGAAATGTCTCGGCGACTCGAATATCAACAGTTAAAAGACAGAAAAGATGACACTGTGCTGGATACATTCAGAGAAGAGACAAGCAGAGGATCACCAAACAGGCATTGGAATAGGAAATAGACGGTCTAAGGAAACAAGGACGTCCTAGAGAAACTCTAAGGCAATCGTTGGTGTGAGAGGTCAAAGGTGTTGGACTGGATTTCACCTTTAATATCGAAGTTGTTGCACTGAACATAACATAATGGAGGAATCGGCTGTGAGCCCATGTGACATACAATGGCAGTACAAGGCAATGAATGAACCCATGTATATTCTCCTAAAAATCAGATAAATGATCAGAATCATCATCATACATTTAGGCACATTTATAAATTCACAGAGGACGCAGTTATTCTTTCTCTCAATTATATCCTGTTTGTTTCCATTGCCACGGCTGGAATACAACCCGGTTCCTTTGGTCTTTCTCCTAAACGTTCGTCTTGGCGTAATGTTGGACGACATCACCTTCTCGGTCAATTTGTTTCCCATTTAAGTGCCTGTTCAGTTAGGGCCTGTCCAGTCAGTCAGGTTCCGTAACCAAGCCTTTCTTGGTCTGTCTCTTCTTCTGTTTCTCCCTTTTGAGCCCTTCAGTGTTATTTGCGAGAGGCCGTTAGATCTTTTTACATGTCCATACCATTGCATTTTTCGCCTTTTCACTGTAGTTAAAAGAGGTTCATAGTTGCCAATATGCTGTATAATTTTATGGCGAACCTGTTCGTTTGAAATGTGGTCTCTGTATGATATGCCAATTATTTTTATGAAACGTCGCATTTCTAATGCTTGTTTGTATCTTTCTTTCAAGTTGAGCGATTAAGGTCCACGTTTCACAGCCATTTGTAAATGTACTAATAGCTAGTACTCTGAGTAATCGAATCCGAGTTTTGCATGAACTGTTTTTGGATCTGCATAAAGTGTGCTGCTTGGCAAGGACTGATGTTGTCTGGGCAACCCTAGACATGATTTCTGGTCTTGACCCCAAGTCACATAAAATGGATCCTAAATATTTGAAAGGAGTCACTTGTTCTAATTTTGTAGCCTTTAACGTAGACTGGTGAAATTTTGCAGCTGGATTATTAGTCATTACTCTTGTTTTTTCTGCTTTAAATTCCATGCCATACTTGGTTGATGTTTCATCGAGTAGATTAACAAGCTCGACTATTTGTTATTCTTCTCTGCCAACCCATTGATGTCATCTGCAAACCTTAAGTTTGTTATAGTTTGACCTCCTATACTAACTATTTCATGATGTTTCAGGGTATCAGTCATAATTCTTTCTAAACTGATGTTAAACAGTGTTGGAAAGAGGAGGTAGCCCTGTCGGACTCCTTTTGTTGTTCGGAACCAGCTTACTTTTTGCCCGTGCAGCGTGATAACACTGCTGGCCTTGGCATAGAGCTGTATGTATAGTACGTTTGGTGGTTTTACCCATCTTGTATTTTTTTATAGTGTCCCAGAATGCTGCATGCCATAATTTATGAACGGCCTTTTAAAAATCAATTTACTCATGGTTTTTTTAGCTGTTTTTTATGTGCTGGTGGTATTGCTCAGATAAGATGCGTAGATTAAATGTATGTTCAACAGTGCTTCTTCTACATGGAAATCCGCCTGTTTCTCTGCAATGATCTGTTTAGAAGCATCTTAAGCATGACTTTACTGGGATAACTGATCAGACTTATAATCCTATAATTTTGACATTGATGTACATTCTCCCCTTTTTTGGGATGGTAATGATGTGTGATTTGGTCCAGAGAGACGGCCATTCACCAATCTGCCAGATTTTGTTGCAGATTCGGGTAAGGATGTCGATAATGTCCACTCCCTTCGCCTTAAGGATCTCAGATGGGATATTGTCAATCCCTCCAGCTTTACCATTTTTGTGACTTCTGACGGTCAAGCATACTTCATCCCGGAGTATAGGGAAGCTGTCATACAGGCTCGAACAGTATTTAAACCATCTATTTAGGATGTCATTACTTTTTGTGAGTAGTTTACCTTCTGTGACTTGAATGGCGTTACTTCTTGGCGTTTTCTCTCGATTGATGTTTGAAATTACACTGGGCTACAACTAGTATAAGTGAGATGACAAAAGAAGAAAAAGACGAAGGAGATACCAATTGTTTCCAGACATTTATTCCTTTGACTTTCATGAATTTATTCCAGTTAAGGTTCATCAGTTTTCTCCAGCATTTGTTTTCGAATGCATTCAACTTTCGTTCCATAACTGATAAATAAAAAAATACACAGTAAGAAAATATAGAAACCTCATCTTGTTGAATTTTCTTGGCTTTATTAGGCTCTCTTTTGGAGTAGACACTTATCTTCTCTAGGGGGTTTTCTTCCTTCATGCCAAAATCAAAACTTACAACCTATGGAGAAAACATGTAAAGTATAACACATTTATCAAAGCTCTAGCATTATATCATGATGTTTAGACATATGCTCCACGTGTGGATTTCGGGGTCCCATTGTGGGAAAAACAAGAACAGACCCACCTCCTATCCTAAAGCATATTGTAAGAGTTGACTAATTGGGAGCTACCTTCCAAGTCGGAGTGAATCTGCCCGAGATGCACGGAACCAACATGGAAGCCGCTTTGAGGAAGTCGTTAACTCGACTCTCGTAGTGCTTGGTTCTAAAACAGGTACTAACATTGGTTTTTGGAACATCAGAACCATGGCGGAAACTACAAAATCATCCCACGTAGCAGAAGAAATGAAAATATACCATCTAGATATATTGAGGTTGAGTGAGGTGAGATGAGAAGATAGTCAATTGTTTAACATTCATTTATACAGGCAGAGAGATGGGTAACATATGGAAGGGTTAGGTATAATGACGTCATCTCAAATTGCAAAGTGTATGCTGGAGTAGGAACTTATTTCAAGTCGAATGATTAGAGCCTGATTCACTACCAGCCATGTCAAAATGACAATCTGCAGTCTCATACACCAACCGATGATGTTGAAGCAAACAAGAAAGACCTGTTTTATGAACAACTGCAGGTGGAAAGTTACAAGATTCCAAAACAGGATGAGATTTGACTAAGCAGAGGGATTTTCCAGAGAAGACAGTAAGTCTGCCACCTCCCACCCTGCTAACCAGTCCCCACACACTTGCTACTGCCTTTTCTGCAGCTATTCAGTCCATCGGTACGTAGGTTCATCTTAGACTAAAAATAAAACTGAAGATTGTTTCTTCTAAGTTCGTTGTATTTTGTGCATCTTCGATCATACACTTGGCCTGGACTATAGAATGATTGTTATGGTCTAGCGGGTGGCGACATGAGTTCGTCACATTAGTAAGCGTATTCTATGTGCTAGAACATATTCTCAAGGAGGAACATCTTGTGTTCTTCACTGCCAAAGAGATCTTACATCTGCCAATCCGAATTTCCCTGATCCTTCAATGTGCTCCGTTACAAGATGACACGGACATCCACACTCTCATGTGGTGTGACAATGGCTGATGAATATGCTTCGGCAGTAAACACATTGAACAGGTATCACTTGTACAAAGTATCTAAAAACACACAAAATTCACTGAGGTACCCTCGGTTGAACCCGCTGCTATCATGTGTTTGAACTGGTAATCATGATTTCGTTTATGTCAGCCCGATTTAAGCCCTATCACAAGTTTTAACCTTGCACACTGTTGGGAACGTACTGTTGGAGTGCTTCTTAGGATTCTTTACAAGGCTTGCTGACTCTTCAGAGACCAAGCTATCCCTAGTCACCTGATAGGTACCGCTATTGCTAGATACCTCTACTAGAAAGCAAGATGGGGAAATCAAAGAAGCAATTCAAAGCCACTACACCCAAGAAGGCGGAGCCTACCGTAGCAGAAGCCTATGCTACATACAACTGGAGCCAAGCGGCGGTCACCCACGTACCGCTGAGCCCAGTGGTTGAAAAGGAGGTAGCATCAGAGCCTACAAGCATTTTAGAAGCCGAAAGCCCACATGGAGACCAGCCATCAACACCCAGCGCCGCCGACGCTCCTGTGACCTAACCAGAAATAAGGCCACCGAAACCCACCGATACGCACAAAAAGCGGCAGCAGGCATCCTAAGCACCTGAGATACTGCAGTGAGCACGGTGAAATAGGGCGTGGCATACCGCTGCGACCTGTCGTAGCGGCCCCACATGCCGATACTGTTCCAGGACACACGTTTTTAGGTAATGCCCCCTGACAAAAATAGACCAGAATTTCAAGAGGCCGAATACTAACAGAAAGAGTTTGAACTGCACAGGCGCTTACAGTGCGAGGTATCTGGACTGCCCGTACCTCAAAGATATGAAGAGAGCTGTGTCCACTGCCGTAACAACAACAACAACAAAAAAAAAAAAAAAAAAACGCGCACCACCCAGTAACGACAAAAAGATACAAGGCGCCCAGACCAACCAAACAACATGTCTGAAAGCAGCCGAGAAGCCAGCTGCCCTGCCCACTAAATTCAGATCATCTGACGAGGCGATCCCCACCACCAACTACACTGAGCATATACAAGCAATATCTGAGCTAAAACCGAAATCTAAGCGCTACTGAAGAAGAAAGCCGCTGCTGCCGCCAAAAGTGCGGAGACGCTGGACCTCATCTCCTTAATGTTAGGGGAGATCAAGGCCCTCAAAGATGACAGACTGGGGCAGGCTACTCAACAAGTCGACAGGCAGCCACAAATACAAAAGAAAGCATCAAAGCGATAATCTCGAGCCCAAAAACAGCCCAGGGAGCAGAAGAAACGCGTCGGCAAGAAGAAAGGGAGGGGCGCAGGAAGGAGATGGCGGAACTCAACGAAGCACGTGAGAGTTCTTAATGTGAGGTCGCCAGGCTAGCGCAGAAGGATGCAGAAACAGTCAAGTACTTGAATTCAGAACCACAATAGCCGTGAAAGAAACGAAAGTGGCACATTGGGAAAAACTCGCAAGCGTCCATCAGGATCAAGCAGAGACTCGGAGCGCCATCATGGAACTCTGTAAAATCCAGTACAAACTGTCAGTGGAAGCAACCAAAATCGAAAGAGTTGTGGCTGCAGCAGAGAAGAAAGAAAGAGCGTGAGTACGATGTGACTGGCAAGGCAGCCGAATACCCAGAATAGAACTCAGGTACCGGAGACGCAGAGAAGTCAGCAAATGAAGATACCCCTACATATAAGAACCCACCGAGATGCCAGAGGAACAGGAGATTCCCCCTACAAACAGCGATTCCTAGGTCTACTCGTGAACGAGAGGAGTCCGAGCAGTGGAGCTCACCGCGACAACCAAAATACCACAGGCGAACTAAACGAGGACGTCGCCAGTATTAGAAAGCTACAGAAAAACAGCAGTCAGCACAATGCAGCAAACGACAACCCAAGCAAAAAAGCCTAGCCAATGGAAGAGGCCCGACACCAATGCCACAATCTTTACGGAATAGTAATGACCCAAGCCGCCATGACAGCAATCAAAGCCAGCCCACCGGACCGGAAACACCCCTAAACGCAAGACCAGCCAGGCATGTTGTTCGACCACCAGATTACTCCCACCCATACCCGATCCAGGCCGACCCAGGAAAACCCTAACAGTCCTTTTCCTGACTTTTAAAAAGCCATTCCCAAAACAGCAAGTGTAGCAGAAACGCAAAGAAATCGCAACAAGACGTGGTGAATCCACGTCGCAGGAGAAGAAAAACTCTAAAACCACAAGAACATCGGATTTAATTATAACCAGTCCCTAGAGGCAGGTTGAAAACTCAAAAGTTTTTTGAAAAACACTTTTCGAGCCAAAATCATGATTTTCGAATAATAACGCAAACACACGCTGCCATACTGGGAACAGAAGTGGATTAACTATCACTACCCCTGGCAATGCAGAACTGATAACATGAATCAAACCACGCTGTAATATAGAATATTTAACTCTTAGGTCAAATCAGTACTTCTCCGTGTGGATTCTGGTGCCCTTGTGTGGGAAAAACAAGAGTAGACCCACTGCCTTTGAAGCAAGCATATCGATTGCGTTAACTAACAGGACTCCCTTTAAAGTTAGAGTGAGTCTGCCAAAGCGGCATGGAGAAATCAACTGCACACAAATAAGCCAGTACAACGGATGTAGAAACAAAACTCAGGCCCTGCCATACATGGCCAAGTCCAAATGGAAGAACAACCAAGACTTTCCGCCGGAGCTTACAGCTGCTGTCACAGAAGAAGAAGAAGAAGAAGAAGAAGAAGAAGAAGAAGAAGAAGGAGAAGAAGAAGAAGAAGAAGAAGAAGAAGAAGAAGAAGAAGAAGAAGAAGAAGAAGAAGAAGAAGAAGAAGAAGAAGAAGAAGAAGAAGAAGAAGAAGAAGAGGAAAGAAGAAGAAGAAGAAGAAGAAGAAGAAGAAGAGGAAAGAAGAAGAAGAAGAAGAAGAAGAGGAAAGAAGAAGAAGAAGAAGAAGAAGAAGAAGAAGAAGAAGAAGAAGAAGAAGAAGAAGAAGAAGAAGAAGAAGAAGAAGAAGAAGAAGAAGAAGAAGAAGAAGAAGAAGAAGAAGAAGAAGAAGAAGAAGAAGAAAGAAGTAGAAGAAGAAGAAGAAGAAGAAGAAGAAGAAAGAAGAAGAAGAAGAAGAAGAAGAAGAAGAAGAAGAAGAAGAAGAAGAAGAAGAAGAAGAAGAAGAAGAAGAAGAAGAAGAAGAAGAAGTAGAAGAAGAAGAAGAAGAAGAAGAAGAAGAAGAAGAAGAAGAAGAAGAAGAAGAAGAAGAAGAAGAAGAAGAAGAAGAAGAAGAAGAAGAAGAAGAAGAAGAAGAAGAAGAAGAAGAAGAAGAAGAAGAAGTGAAGAAGAAGAAGAAGAAGAAGAAGAAGAAGAAGAAGAAGAAGAAGAAGAAGAAGAAGAAGAAGAAGAAGAAGAAGAAGAAGAAGAAGAAGAAGAAGAAGAAGAAGAAGAAGAAGAAGGAGAAGGAAAAGGAGAAGGAGAAATCAGTACTGTTGTATGGGGTAGAAACATTAGGAACAACAACAGAAATCACGGATAGCTTTCAAATATTTTCAATAACTATTGACGGTACTACAACAGAAAACTGTCACCGCTCTAAAGAAAACTTTAAAGTTAGGAACATGGAAAGGCATGGTACCAGGAAGGAGGGGCAGGGGCCGACCGACACGAAGATGGGCACAGGATATAAGTGACTCCTTGAGTATAAAAGTACATAAGGCGGGCGAACTGGTGAGAGACCGAGTTTCTTACAGGCAGACTGTGATGAGAGCGACGTTCTTCTAAGGACCTGCTACATGATGATGATGAGTGACTGTGTAGTGCAGGCGATACGATATAAAATGACCGAATACCTAGTTTTAAGAAAGAACTAAACACATTCTAATGAATCGAGATATGAGGGAAGTACCTGGCGCAGGATAGAACACATACTAAGAAAACGTGATTGATACTAATATAACTAGAATACCAGTGGCCCGATTAGCCAACAAGGGAGAAAAAAGATGATTAAAAACAAGAGAGACACGCACACACAAACACACACACACACTCACACGCACTAAGGGAGATGAGGATAAGATGGGACTGATCGGTGGGTGATGCAGTCAGCATCATGTAGGTCGTCTTTACTTCCCATGACTTTACTTGGTACTGATGTAAAGCTAAGTCAACGTGGGAGTCAAGGTCATTTCGGTAAAAAAAATGAAAAAGAAAATTAAGTCCGGCTAGATCGGATTTTTACCTTTCACCTTCGATAAGCCAACAATATTATTAATGTATATATATATATATAAACATCATAACATGCATATATAAGTATGCTTTTTAGTTGCACTAGCTCTTTACTGGTGTCTCAACACAATGACTGTTACACATGTAGTCATGAATGTTTGACTGCAGTCATACAAGATTGAGATATATATATATATATATATATATATGCATGTTATGATATGTTTATATATATATATATATATATATATGTGTGTGTGTGTGTGTGTGTGTGTCTATTTGTGTGTCTATTTGTGTGTCTTAGAAACTGAAAAAAATAGCATCAACTCTTTTAAGAGCGTAACTATGTGAAATCTGACAACCTGTACATAAAAAAAATCCGCGTCAGCGTCAGGCAAACCCCCCTCTTGTATGATTTCCGCTTTAATCCTTTTCTCCGCCTCTGTCTTGGTTTCTTTTTCATCTCCAATCTTTTTCTGTAAAGATAGCAATGTTTTACAACACGTAAATGTTCGAGAATGAAATAAAATAACACACACATATTTCTATAGCCAGATATTGTAAATTCTGCTTGCATTTCCTTCTCCTCTTGTTGTTGTTGTTGTTGTTGTTGTTGTTGTTGTTGTTGTTCTTCTTCTTCTTCTTTTTCTTCTTTTTCTTTCGTCCTTAGAACAGCGGCTTGACTTTTTTGTTGCTGTTTACAGTTGGACTGCGGTATCTGCGCAATTTAGCCCCAGTATACGATTTCAGCAAAATGTTCATAAGCAGATTTTAGGAAACATTTATAAGAGGCAGTGAGTCAACCACTCCCATCGAACACATTAGCAGACACTCTTCCGTCGTTTATTTTGCCCTTTATAACTTTAATGTTCTCGCTTTTTGTGACGAGACAAATGAAAATCGTTTAATTGTTTTGATAGTGGTACTAACTAGTTCGCCCAATGAGTTGATTTCTTTCGAAACTTTTTTATTACACAGTTTATTTGTCCAGCGTTCTCAATCTTGTATGACTGCAGTCAAACATTCATGACTACATGTGTAACAGTAATTGTGTTGAGACCAGTAAAGAGCTAGTGCAACTAAAAAGCATACTTACTCCAATTAGGACGCCAGGCTTACACGGTTCGCTTTCACCTATACATCTATAAAAATCTCTGTTGAAAATTCGCTCAACAATCTGCTTTGCTGCCTTTAGATTTTCAGAAATGTCACCATACGCATCACGGATCTTGTACAGGATACTGTCCGTCATAAGAATGTAGCCTTTCCAATCCTTCTTTTTGATAATGTCAGGAACTTTCTCACTGGAAAAAAAAAAATATTGCATATGCGATGGTTAAAGTTGGTTCATGTCCTGAACAGTTTACGGAAGCCGTTCTAAACCTGTGGGTCACGACCCCTTACAGGGTAGGACGACCCTTTCCCATGGGTCGCCTAAGATCATTGGAAAACACATTCACTGAAGTACCAACGAAAATAATTTTATGGTTGGGGGTCCCCATAACACGAGGAACTGTATTAAAGGGTCAGGGTATTAGGAAGGATGGGAACAACTGGTTTACGGGATATCGCAAGCAACCGCATTTCTTGTTGGTTGTTTTACTGGTCAAATTTAGACTCAGAAATGTGCCCTAATATGTCGACGCTGATATTCTTTTTTTTTTTTTTGAAGTCCATGCCGTGTGGTGTTGGTAGTCATGTCTTTCCACAACCTTCTGTCTCGTGTACTTTCAATCAACTCTGACACAGATGCTCTTCTATGACATGATGTCAGACTGTCAAGCGTCTGTTCTCTCTGTTTCCCTCTGCCTCAATTCCCCTCCAACTTTCCTACTGTCACGATGTACTCCAGTTTTCTCCTTCTCATCACATGACCAAATAATTTAGATTGTTTCTTTCTGATGTGGGGCAATCAGTTCTCTTCGTGAGTCAATTTCTTTCAAGGCGTCTTCATTACGCTGATTAACTACTGTCAAAATCAACGCAGCATGATCTGTTTCCAGATCGCCTACAGCTCAGTAAAACCAGGCATTTCGGACTAATAAAACCGACTTACTAATTCCTATGTCATTTACGTCCACACTCTATACATCATCATCATCATTATTTAGCAGCAGGTCCTTTGCAGAACGTCGCTCTCATCACTTTCTGGGTCTCTCGCCTCCTTTTCCGCCTGGTGCACTTTTACACCCATAGAGTCATTTACATCCTGTGCCCATCTATGTGCTGGTCGGCTTCTGACCCTCCTTCCTGGTAACATGGCCAGAAAGTATCTTTCTTTCTTTTGTCGACTGCATGTTTTGAATCGTCATCATCACAGTTTTACAAATGATAGCTAGCCGAGCAGAGTTGCATGCTGTATTGTATGTAATGTTGTAAAATCGTAGGCTAGTTGGTAGGTACACTGCTGAAAAATACACACACACTCGTCCCGCTCAACCAGCATCTTTAGGTTATAATTGTGTCTAGATTATGTGCGCTTAGTAGTGTACGCCACCAAGAGCCCTGAAAAGGACTCCAGTAATGTTGATGCGATCAAAGGTCCAAACAGAATGTTGATGCGATCAAAGACCCAAACAGAATGTTGATGCGATCAAAGGCCCAAACAGAATGTTGATGCGATCAAAGGCCCAAACAGAATGTTGATGCGATCAAAGGCCCAAACAGAATGTTGATGCGATCAAAGGCCCAAACAGAATGTTAATGCGATCAAAGGCCCAAACAGAATGTTGATGCGATCAAGGGCCCAAACAGAATGTTGATGCGATCAAAGGCCCAAACAGAATGTTGATGCGATCAAAGGCCAAAACAGAATGTTGATGCGATCAAAGGCCCAAACAGAATGTTGATGCGATCAAAGGCCCAAACAGAATGTTGATGCGATCAAGGGCCCAAACAGAATGTTGATGCGATCAAAGACCCAAAGAGAATGTTGATGCGATCAAAGGCCCAAACAGAATGTTGATGCGATCAAAGGCCCAAACAGAATGTTGATGCGATCAAAGGCCCAAACAGAATGTTGATGCCATCAAAGGCCCAAACAGAATGTTGATGCGATCAAAGGCCCAAACAGAATGTTGATGCGATCAAAGGCCCAAACAGAATGTTGATGCGATCAAAGGCCCAAACAGAATGTTGATGCGATCAAAGGCCCAAACAGAATGTTGATGCAATCAAAGGCCAAAACAGAATGTTGATGCGATCAAAGGCCCAAACAGAATGTTGATGCGATCAAAGGCCCAAACAGAATGTTGATGCAATCAAAGGCCCAAACAGAATGTTGATGCGATCAAAGGCCCAAACAGAATGTTGATGCGATAAAAGGCCCAAACAGAATGTTGATGCGATCAAAGACCCAAACAGAATGTTGATGCGATCAAAGGCCCAAACAGAATGTTGATGCGATCAAAGACCCAAACAGACCCAAAAAGTGTCTGGGCGACGACGCAGTCGTGTCGTCTATAGGAGAACCAGTGGGCCACCCTGTCACCAATGTCGTGAAGTCTTAGTCTGTCAGTGACTGCTTCAGTCCTGCTTCTTCTCTGTCTCCTTCTGTCTCATGAGGTTTCCACTCTCATGTCTCAACATTGCTCACACGAACAATTCTCAGGCACCCGTTTTATGTCATCTGATGCAACAGGCATCCCTATTGATTGTTCCCTTGAGATGTTGCTTACCATCTTTCCTATCTAGATCTTAAAGATGAAACCGACGAGCTTCAAACGGTCTCATTTTTTGAGGTAATATGTTGCACTATTTTGTCAAAGATGTGCCTCAATACAGCCGCGACTTGGATGAATATTTTAACATGTAATAATGATAAAGACAACTCATTTCATGTTCCTTTTGACTATTAACTGAATTTCCGGCGTTTCTTTTATACAAATAGATGTAATTATTGCAATCCTTGTTCATGTCAGGGAGCCACCTTGTTCTAGCGGCTAGACGCTGGGCTGCAGATCGGAAGGTCATGGGTTCGGTTCCTGACGAAGGCTGGATTTTTTAAAAAAATGACTTTGGCTCCCAGGTCGACCAAGCCTTAAGTGGGTGCCAAGTACAGTCCTGGGAAGTAGAGGTGGCCAACAAATTGCTTATCACATCACCCACCAAGTGCTGTTTGGTCAATAAAATATAGGTCTAGCCATATATACCCAATGAGCCTAAAATGTGTGGAAAATGGTCCTTTGCCTTTTAATTTTACTCGTTCATGTCGGTGAAATCACTTTTTAATTCTTCCAGTCTACAAGATTGAGTCGGCTCTGTGGCTCAGTCTATGCGAACGCTTCGTAATGCCGGGATGCCGGGTTCGACCCCAGATACAGGTCATGAGCCTTGGGTTGGTTTCGACAGTGGTATCAAGAAAGCCAATCGTTCAGTAAGCAATGGCAAACTACTGGACGTAAATTTGCCTTAAAAAACCACACAACAGCCAGGGACTGTTGGGTTTGGTTCTGCAACGTCCTGTAAAGGATACGCAACTAACCTACAAGAGTGAAGTGCGCAAACTTTCAGTTTATGGCATCCCCAACAAAAACAATAACCACACCAACAAAACATTAACAACAGCATGTCGCCATAAACCAAATACGCATTAGGACATAGAAATGAGTGTTTTACTTACATGCTTACAGACCGAATTTGTTATCTTCAGACTAATCATTTCTCAATCAAAGCAATTTTACCTGTAAACACACTATCAAAAGACCTCACGAGTGACATAAACAAAACTATTGAACGGAATTTTTGAGGATTAAGAATGCCATTTGTAGGGATGGTAGTGAAGTTTTATTTTTTGGGTTTTTACTTACGAAATTATAACAGCTAGATTAAAATTAAAATTACAAATCCAATGGTACCTCATTTAAGCCTGTAAGTCGATTCTACGCGGAGATATTAACATTTTAGTTGCGGACACCACGACAGAAAAATTATAGTGGAAATCCATAAAACATGGCTTCCGGTTGCGACCCAGTGAGATGAAATGACTCAATGTTTGCATTTTACGGCCATAACTTTTTTGTTTCTGAACGAATCCCTTAGCAACCATATATTTCTAGAATCGGGACAGTGAGATCTAACCGTTTATGCATGTCTCAATTACATACACTACGATATGCGCCTATTTAACAGAGGAAAATGTCTGCAGGCTGAATATTTTTCATCTGAAACCTTATACATTTACAGTTGTCTGCCAACGAGCCTGGCTTAAAACATATCATATTGTGTGTCCTGGCAAGGCGAACATAAAGATCATATAAATGTGCCAATGTCAGTTGACGTGACCTAATTAACAAATACCGGAAACCCCCCCCCCCCACCCCCTTTTTGCAACAGCGATGTCACCCGGGGTGGTCTATCTCCGCACAGTAATGACACCTGGGGTGGTTGTTCCCCCCTCCCCCTCCACAGTGATGATACCGGGATGGCCACACCCCCTTCCTGCTACCTTCTTTCCCTGGTATCTTTCCTCATCTTTCTTTCTTTTTCCTTTTCTTTCTTTTTCCCCATGTCTCAGTGTCGACTTTTTTTTCTTAGTCTCTTTTTTTATTCCTCTCTCCTCCTCCTCCTGCTCCCTCTCTTTCTCAAATTTATCTCAATCTTCTACTGCCCCTCCCCCTAACTCTCCGTTCTATATGGTAGAAGAAAACATGAGCCCACTGTTTTTATAATTGGTCGGTGACAGTGTTAACAACGGGGCAAACACAATAGGTGTGTTCATTTCTGGGAATCAGGTCAGGTCGGTTTTTTTTCTCTTTCAAAAATGACCTTGGCTCCCAAGTCCACCCAGCATTGAATTTAAGAAATAGATCTATAGCAGCCACACGCGGACAGCCAAGCATGGGAGGGTTGCCAATGGGGTTTTTGTCAAACCTGAAGCTAAGCTTATGTCAAGAGGTGAATCAACCAAACCCTGCACAGTAGACTCGTCGTGACGTTGACGTCCCTAGCGGGCAGGTCACACTTCAAATTTAAACCCGTCCGGTGGGTATATAGTCAATTATATTGATATATACCCCTATCTGGTGGAATAGAGATTTCTATACCCTCTAGTTGTTTTGAAAAGTCTACATTTTCAAACTTGCAACTGTGGGATAGATATTTTCTGGAATAATATTCCGAATACCTGGAAAACTTTTTACTCCTTGGTGTACTTATACGGGACTTTTTTTTAGAGACGCAAAGCGAGATCAGGCAGGGTCATTCTTTGCCTGACTTCCTAGGTGTGCAGAAGTATGTCACCTCTCTGATTAAATCTAGGCGCATTCAAAATACCAGTTTAATCTTTGAAGGATTCCTAAGCTTGGATAAGTTGATTATAGTTTACGAGTACCATGATATATGTTTCTATAAAGTTAGCTGCTGCTGCAGGGAGGAAAGATTCAGCTGCGTGACCGCACAGAACTAGGCCGTTTTTGGTGTCCAGACACTCAAGCCCCTGAAATCAAACCTTTCCCTTCGCAGGCTAATAGATTGTGCCCAACCTGACCCACACCATTATAAATATATTAAACTCAGCAAGTTAATTATTCTCTAACCAGCTGACAGAGTTTGTGTCAAATAGCGGACATATTTAACTGGGTCACACTTCAGCCAGCTAGGCACTGTGACGTTAGAAGTTTTTTTTAGCACAACAACACTGGGTGTGCAGTGGGCAGAGTGTGGAGGTATAATATATATATATATATATATATATGTGAGAGAGAGATGGGATGTATATCTACAAGTGCAGAGGTGGGCGAGGAGAGTTGATGTCCTATGTTTGATAGAGTCTATCTGTCTCTACTCTGCTACTCGTCTCTTGTCCCTGTTACTGACTGAATAACAGGGATGATATTTAGAGACTTATACTGTCTCATTATCCTGAAAACTCTCCTCTGAATGATTACTAATGTGGATGTTAATCAACTGAGCTTGACATGTAACCCCTGCGATGACTGCTAATTCTGAGTTCCTTCTTGATACAGGATGGTATCTCCTTGGAGGCCAGGCAGTGAATCAGCAGTCCACAAAAACACCTACAAGGAAGTCACCAATGTCCAAGCCAGTGGTGGGCATCCAATTGTAAACCAAACTTTTGTCATCCATTAGGGAAATTCTCGAGTTGGTCTATGGACAACATAATGGGTGTTGTACCTTCACCATCATTTATCCGGAAGCTTGTTTGTGCCTCAAGTGATTGACTTGGTACCCGAGATCCTCACCAGTGTTCGAGTGTCTAGTGTGGGACTGTCTTCAACGTAACAACACAGTGACTGAATATTCAGCAAGTTCAAGAAACCAGGGATTCAGATAAGTGTGGTCAATTGGTTTATTGCCGGGCTTCACTGTTAATCGTCGACATGATCATGATGATGATCTAGGCGGACCTTGTGAATCTCTTACACATTCAGTCAGATCTGTTTTGAAGTTTTTGTCCTTCCTATCACTCTGGGTTCTTGAAGTTCTTTGCTGATTCTTATATAATGTATGTGTTGCATTTATTACATGTTCAGAAAGTTTCATTATTGACTTGAGTGTCCATCATTCACTGTTCAAACTGTCTAGCTTTTATGTTTGTGTGATTAGTAAGTTTAATCTGTGTTAACATGGCTGTGATAGTATACTATCATATCCTGGAGTCTTTCTTGTTATAATAGTGGGGGTGTCCAGCCAAGCTGCGATTAGGATTAGTAGATATTCTGTAGTGCCAGAACTTAAGTTGCCCTACTCCTAAAATAAGTTGAGCGTATATTGGCCACGGGATATCCCTTACACCAATACGAGCCGACGCCTCAACATTATTTTATTTCAGAAAACTGTTGGTTCTTAAGGAGAAATCCTTAAATCAGGCACGCGACACGAGCGGTATGTGACAGCTTACCAAAAAACCCAAGCAATATATAAGAAAAAAAATTGACAAATAGTACATATTTTATAGTTAATTTTATAATTACGAAATGAAACATTTACCCACTTTTATATAAGGATTTATATGTTTAAAGAAAAAAAAAAGATTCCAAAATCTTAACCCAAGGTGTCGTTAAAAAAAACAGTTCTTGGGGGAAAGCCCAAGTACTGGCAGGCCTGATGAAAGGGAACGCTGTCAGCGCTGCTGTTGTTTCTCGACCACTAAGATTTACCAATTCCGACTGAAAATTCCGTGTATTCTAAATAATAACAGACGCATTAAAAAATGCTACAAGAGTTGTAGATGTTTAAAAAGTAACTCACTTAACATTATTAATTTACTAAGTATCTGAAGTTAATTACTAAAGAATAATCTTAGAAAATGCGCAATGATGGCCGAAATTAATTATTAGGATTTGAGGGTGGTCAGGAAAAAAATATGCAACAGAGAATGCTCTAAATAATGACAGATGCATGAACAAATGCTACAATGGTTGTGGATTTTTTTAAAAATGATTAAAATAACGTTAGCTAATTTAATAATTATTTTAAGTTAATTATAAAGCGGGAAAAACGGTCTCCTAGTGCAAACATATTGAATTTAAAACCAAAACAGTGATGCCACTAAACAATTTTTTTAAACATGTGCTGTATTGCCAATCTTTGTGAAATTTCCCACACTTATATAAAAATTAACGCAGAATTCAAAAATACAACACACTTTGCGGTAATCTGGCTAATTAGAAAGATATTTACGAAATTACTTACCGTTATTCACTGCGTGCTGCCCCCCAAAAAATCGATTTATTTTATACGCGTCAAAACCATCTCAAGTCAAAGCCTGGCATCTCTCCAATAACTTCTAATAACTTTTCCGATTTTATCTTTCACGTAAAGAGCACAGAAAAATAATTTCTGAATAACAGACAATTGATTTTCAAATTTTCGGGTCGCAATCGCGTCTATAGATACCGACGAAAATGTATAGCAAAATAAACGAAACAAAACGATCCACTGCCATACCTACCATTTCTTTAGCGACGGAAAATACTTGGCAAAAGTCAAATCACCCATTGCCTTGACGAGAGCTTGTGCCACCCTATAAAGTTATAAAAAAAAAAAAAAAAAAAGAAGGTTAAAACACTTTCTTAAAAGAAACTTGTTCATTCATATTACATTAAACTCTCCAAAACTCACGAATTCACTGAAGAAGAAGACCGTCAACATGAACACATAACTTAGTCCTTTTTCCTTATAGTTCCATCCCAAACCATACAGCGGCTGTCGTTGGAGGCCCTAATATAACGGCTGAACGGAGTTACTGGAAATTGTGCTCATTAAATTCTCATCCGAATGGTGGCACCTTGTGTCACCAAGTGTTAACCCCTCGTTGTGCCGTCCTGATGGCGTTGAACACCAGTCATTTAGCTCAAACTTCCAAAGCTGTTGATACATTTTTTTTCTGTTGTTCCTCTGCTAGGTATCTAAGAAGTTAGGTTCAGTCACTGCTAGGTCACTGAATGATTATATTTACTAAAAATAGCATGTATGGGTTTCCTTGTGAAGCACTGGCATTTATTAATAGGAATTACGACATAATACCTAACCTTATGTTAATTTTCTGATGTGTTCCTGTTAACTGATTACTCTACTTTGTTCAGGCAAAAAATGCCAATAACGTGACTGTAATTAGGTTTCTTCCAGCCTTTTTCTTACCCACACCATCTCGTCGGCTGCGAGAATTGGTAGGGAATTCGTATAAGAGATGGGTTAGGGTTAGGGTTAGTATTAGTTGTTTTCATTCAACAGTAACCATTCAACACTTTAACTGCTATGTTCTAGTCGTGTCATGTATTTGTTGTTTTCAATGTGTTCATTGTTTGTTGCTTCATCATTTCCAGTGTGTGTTACTTTCAAAGAAGAGGAGAGCACAGAATAACATGGAATGACAACATCAAGTAGGATAGAACTAAGTTATTAAATACTTGTTTAATAGGTGGAAGACAAAGAAAGACTGCGGATATGGTGTGTTCGTGCTTTCCTCGATACACCGCCACGACATTAACTTGTCAAGAGTTATAATATGTTATCATGGCCCCTAGATAATCAATAATGAAAAAAAAAAAAGTAAAAGATCCCTTTTGCGATAATTGTGCACCTGGCATATGATGCTGCTATAGACCAGTGGTTGTCAAGCGGTAATCTGAGGGGCTCTATGGGATCAGGGTGCAATTCCCTTGGGCTTCAGAGATCGCTCCAATGAGAGGAGGGGTGGAGGGGTGGAGGGATGGGGGGAGGGTTGTGACCAAATGAATAAAGTTAAAGACGAGATAATTGACTTTATTGCATCAGGCTTTATCTCATTTGGCTTGGTTTCTCTCAGCAGAACGTCTAGCCGTCTACGGAGAACTGCACACAAAGCATCACACAAAGTACGAACACCGTAGTTCTGGAGTGGATTCTCCGGGGTCTCCATAAAAATTGCGTTAGTGAATCGAGCGCCGCAGTCGTGAAATGAACACACGACCTTGAAAGTGTGAGGCAAACGGCTCGACCACTTCACCACCGACCCTCAGACACAGAGATTTATTACTATAAGTAACATCTACGTGTCATAATAATCATTAGTTCCTCGTTTGATTTGGTTCCACATTTGGGGAGGGGGGGGGGATGAATAGACCCACTTCACATAGATAAGCATGACTAATTGAAAGTGTTTTCTTTAAAGTCGTAGTAAATCTGCCTGAGAGACAAGAAACCAGTAGTCTGCATACACATTAGTCAGATTTGAAAAACGGACGTGCACGGAAACACAGGTACTGGAACTATACTAGGGTGCAGAAGTGGACAGATGAACTTAAAATTTATGTTTTAATTTACAGCCAGAAAACTGAAAAAAAAAAAAAAACAGAAGAAATCACTAGTTAAAGTATTATTATTGAGGAATAACAGAGTTATGTTACTACTTACATAATTTCTAATCCACCTATTACTTTATGCTGGTAAGCTGTTTTATGCAAAAGGTATCGAGCTGCAAACAGGCTGTGTAAGTTGATGACTTCCTGCAACATTCAAAGCACAAAACACGAACACTGTACATAAAATATTGACACTGCCTACAAAGCATTCTATGATTTTTATTTTTCCTTTTTCTTTTCTTTTACCCTCAACCCTTAAATGGGGAACCGTCGCAGTGTAGCGACTAGACGCTTACCTGTCAAGGCGATTCAACACCAAGTGGTGGTAAACCAGCCAGTCTATCTGACTGTTCGTTTCCAAACACACCGACCTGACCTGGAGAGAATTTTATAAGGACATTAACTTCCCCGAACCTCTAAAGCATTGCTTGGCATTCTGTGCGTAGCATTCCTGTCTCTAACGTTCTCAAAGGTGGCAAAAGACAAGCTCCGTGCAAAGCGACAGATATCACCTTAGAGGTCCCAGTAGCATCATTCATATCTTCCCCCTCCCCCTCTGATATGTGTATTGGAAAATGAACATATATACTAACTGGCTGCTGCTGTTGGTTTAATAATGCATGACAAACTAGATATAGCCGACACCATCTGGGAGCAAGCGAACATTACGCAAGCCCTAAAAGATCATTACGGTTTTTGAGAATGATGCTGGGGGTAGGACATGAGAAGCTGCCCAACACTTAGAGGAAGGCGAGATCAAATTGCTACTCGTACCATCGACACTGGAACTCTTCGCTATCCGCTGAAGATGAGGACAGGGCGTTTAGGCCAATGTCCAGGTGCAGTGTCAATTCTTAACTCAATTCAGCTCAAGTATTGCTTGCAGGTGGTTACACTGTGGATGTTTATTCCGCTAGCTTAAATTTAAAGTGACTTTTGTACACTTCTTCTTCTTCTTCTTCTCGTTCACCGGCTGTAAACTCCGGCGGAAAGTTCTGGTTGTTCATCCACTTCTGAACTGCAGTCCTGTTCCAGAACCTGAGTGTTCCGTGTGTATCCGTTTGACAGATATGTATGCAGACTGTTGGTTCCTTGCCTCTCAGGCAGATGCAATCCGACTTCGAAGGAAGCTCCCAATTAGTCGACTCTTACCACATGCTTTTGGGTAAGCAGTGGGCCTATTCTTGTGTTTTCCATAGTAGGGTCTCGGAACCCACACGGGGAGCTTTTGTACACTGAGAGTCGCAGTTGTGTAGAGGCTACTCGCTCGCCCTCAGATCAGAAGGTCTCGAGTTTGGGTCCTGTCGAAGCCGGGTAGTTTTCAAAAATAACCTTCGCTCTCAGATCGATCCAGCCTTGAGTGGATACCGTGTACAGTAAAGGGAAGTAAAGGCGACTGGCATGATGATGACCCTAACCATCAACAAGTGCCAGTTGGTCTATACAAAATATAGGTCCAGCCCTATATTCCCATTACGCCTGTAGGCGCGGAAAAGGGGCCTCTACTTACTTTTTATATTTTTTTAAATATTTTATTATTGTACATAACAACCGCGTTTTACTAAATGAATTTAACACGTATGTATTGATATTTGAAATAAATGCTTACACTACATAATGTAGACACCATTGATGCACCACATCTAGTTACAAGTTAAAACAATGCAATATTTTCTTACATTATCCCGCGAAAGACACAACGGGTGGGGGTGTGTTGGGTGGTGGGGGGGGGGGGGGGTGGGTATGCACAGATTCACTGTTCATAATTACTTTTTTTCCCTTTGTCTGCATTTACAACATCCGGGATTGCAGCTTGAAAGATTGACACCAACTGACTCAATGATAATTTATTCAATCGTATAGAACATTTTTAATGAGTATTCTATTGTTGTAAAGTAACCTATTATCTATGCCTATGGGTATGGATAAATCAGTTCTCCTATCGTGTACCTTAATGTTGATGTATTCATCTATTTATTGAATGAGCAGAAAGAGAATAGACGGATATAAAATAAAACTACTACTTGTATCGCTGAAATTAGAACTCTGCACTAGCTGCTAAAGATAAAGTCAAAACCTATATGGGAGTTTCCCACTGATGATGTCGGTACTTTACTCAGTTCAAGAGAGCATACTTTAAAAAAAAAAGAAGATAATTATATATATATATATATGGTAAATAGAACACTGTTGATATATGGCTTCAATTCAACGATTACCTTGTCCCTTAAACAGATTTGCTTTCTGCCATCATCCCCCTTGATAACTCTGGCGAACTTCATGAAACGTGAATGGTCAAAGCTGTTTCGAATGCCTAGTTGGTGGCAGTCACGGGCGATGTAGTCCCACTTGTCTACATCGATTCCGTTACGTTCATTGGCAACAATCTGATTGCGATAGTATTTGAAGTAAAAATAAAACTGAACATTTATTTACACATGCTCTATGAAATCATACAAAAGACACTTTTTTCTGATTATGATTGAAAAGGCACATGCCGCTTCTGTATTTGCATAACTTTAAATGTTAAAATATTTGCCTCGCGGTCTGAAGGAGGTCAGTTCGTTTCTCAGATTGCGTAGTCTGGTTCACGAGTGCTGTAATGAGTCATTTTCTCATTGCTGGGAAATTTTAACATTGTGTGAAAATGAGCACAGCAACGACTAACATAAAACATGCGACTAACATAAATTAAGAGCAAGCAAGAGCTTGAATAGGTGGCGTCGATTATTAATTGAAATGTATGTGTAAAATGAATCGAGTGGAAGATACCAGAGCGTGCCGTTAGGAAAAGCTGTGCCGCACGAAAAAAAAAGCATGAAACTGTGAGTGAAACTTCACGGTGAACGAGGATTAGAATAGATTATTTAAACGCGGAGCAATTAGGAAAAGCTCAGTCCTGTTTTCGATCCTGTTTGAGACTAGTCCTGTGGCACTTTGAACGCCCGAGTTGAATGTATTCATTGACTCAATAAAGGCCACAAGCCGCCGGCCTGTTTTCTGAGAAAAACATGGCTATGACTCAACAAATTGAGAAGGATGAAATTTGTCTGCTGTGAGATATGTGTTTTTGTTGAATGCAGTTTTGTAGTTCTAAAATGCAATAGTGAGAAGTGCTAAAAGTGAGAACTCTGTCCAGGTAATGATAATCTTTAGATAATTTGTGCGAGTAACGTGTTTATGAAGACATCAAACTTCTAGCCCACTGACCAAGGAAAACATCGTTAGAAAAAAATGAACATTTCTAATCAACAGTTTATGTTCTCGATGCATGTTCGTGTTCAAGATTGCTTTGTTGAATTGTCTCTCAATGTGCCCGAACATTAGAACACTGGAAAATATCATGAGGACTGGAAAGAGGCAGAAGCAGACCAAGAAAAATGATGGTCGATGGCTTAATGTAGTGGCATATGGGAATATCTTAAGTGGAATTGATCCATAACACCAGTGGAGATGCAAGAACGCCTACGCCAGCTGGCAAGACACTTGATAAGGATGATAAGTGAGTGAACAGAATTCATTTGCTGCCAGAGCATGTTTTATATATATATATATATATATATATATATATATATATATATATATATATATATATATATATATATATATATATATATATATATATATATATATATATATATATATATATATATATATATATATATATATATATATATATAATTTGAAGATATTGCAAACTATTCAAGATCTTTTTGAAAATCTATCAGATTTTAACTTTATTATTTTGCACTTCAGTCAAGAGTGAAAGTACTATCTATTACATTTGTTTTTCGGGTCACACATGACAGATAAGAAGACCAGTATTTAATGTTTCTCTGTGAAAGATATAATGATAACTGGAAAGAATGTACAAGAGACGAATGACAAGACAGTGTGTAGCCAAAACATAACATCAAATGAACTGGCAGAGAATGATATGTCGGCTACGACAGCACAAATATTAATGTAAGAATGGACGATCAAAACAACAGTGTTAAGCGAAGTAAAAATGGATGAAGATTTAATTTGTTGAGCAAAGTCATTTGGATTAATTAAAACGTCAGTGCCTCACTTTAAAACATCTGCAGTAACAAGAAACATGAACAGAACCATGCAAGAAAAGCTAAAGCAAGAAAACTTGGGCAACGAGTTGGTATCCATTCCATTGGAATTGCCCTGAAGTCTAAATGAACTTCTGAATGTTCAGATCACGATCCATCCTTAACTAGTGTTTTGAGTTAATTCTGCTGAACTAAGTGTAAAAAATACAACATCTTAGAAATTTGTCTCGAATAAAAACATGTTGATGAAGAGTTAGTTGATGCCATGGAAGAAGTAATTCCAACACCAACAATACAGAGCGAAGTCAATTGAAAATCTGTGAAAGTAAATCCACATTTATAGACTGATGAATGTTATACAAAAAAATGGGATATCATTTAGGGCTTCAGAGAAATTTTAACAAACAGACCAGGAAAAACAGAACTTATAGAATACGATAACCAACAAAGTTTGCACATTTAACTAAAAGCCAAACCATAAGCTTTCCCTATACATAATAAAGAACATGTCTTTGACGAACTAAAACAGCTATAATCAGACGGAATTATAGAGAATTTGTATTATAAATCACTATTAGTAATTGGTTACAGAAAGACTGCCAATTACGACTCTGTGTTGACTACAAAAAACATAATATAAAACATACCATAAAATTACCCACCTTGACCTTGAAATTGATCCCACATCATCATTTTATGAAATCATACAAGAACTATACAATTCCAACTATTTTTCATAAAATTAATTTTTTCAAAAACTGATTGGTAGATACCTTTATCTGAAAATGTAACAAAATATATAGCTTTCATACCCTGACCGGACTAAAGCAGTGTTGGAGATTGGCGTTTGCTGTACTAAATGCATCAACGATATTTGAAAAGATGGTTCGTAAAATTGTATATGCAATTGCAAATGTTACTTATGTATAGACGACATATTTATTCATACCAAAACATGATCGTTTTCATTGTTCTCAGGAAAGTGTTCACAAGAACTGAAGAACCCAAATTAACATTAAATCCCTTGAAGACTGAAAGTTGAGTTTACTAAAATTGAATATTTGGGTCATGTAGTTTTGAGGGCAATGTTTAGACCAATGAAAACTTGTCAAAAATTTCTAGAAATCCAGAAGCCTAAAACTGAATTCCGTCTCCCTCCTCAACAGACAACGAAGAGTTTCCATACTGATGGTACCCGTTGTCATCTGATTGACTACTCTCTAGCCTTCTCTCTGAGTCTTGAGTGGCATCCAGAGTCCACAGCCACTCCTCGCTGTATCATTATCTCCACGAACTGATTTTCAGCACCTTTTATCTCACCTGTTACCCTGTTCCACAAGTTTAAGATCCCCTCTGCTTTGTGCAGGTCAGTACACTCCGCAAAATGGACCAGTCCAGCTAGCCTATCTGCATGATCATTCACAAACACACCTGAATGGCTCTGGGAAAATATTTATGTAACTCTCACCGCCTGCGACCTCTGAAGTGGTATAATCTATCTCATAAAAACCTGACGCCACCTTCCTGAGCATGACTTGCAAATCCGAAACTATTACAAAATGTGTGGCTGAGATTTCTCCAATAACTGAAACGTCGAAGTTACACCCTCAAAAGCCATTCTCATGCTGAATGTGGTAATGTCATATCTCAACAAAGCCCCGTCCACTTTTTCTGATCTGTCAACTGACCTATCAGTGTATATAATCACATCTCCTGACATTAAGTTGTCCTCTGTCAACGACTGAATCTCTGCGTCTGCACGCCCCGCCGCAAATTCCCTGCAGGTAATTATCACTTTGTGCAGCTCTTCTCTGCCATCTGAAACCTTTACCTATTCTTCTCTTCGGTCAATTTCGTGAATGTTGCGGAGCCTGTTGATTGTCTTGTCAGCCTGGGACATCCAGAATCTGTCCCTCTTTGTCACCATTCACAGTGTCCAATTCCCTATGCAGGATATGTTCTGCATTGCTTGCAACTCTAAGATAGTACCCAGCCTGCTGCAAACCATGCCTATCATCAACGGTCGGCATAGTCAAGATGTCTCATAGAAATAACTGGTGTCTCCCTTGTGCATCCCAGAATGGTACACATAGCCTCATTTTGTATGCGTTCCAGTTTCTCCAGCTGAGTCTTTGACACAGTTAGAATCACTAGAACATATTAAATGGCTGACCTAACTAGGCTGTGACTCATTATGTATAACATTCCTTGTTCCACATTCACAGGAGCCATAACCTTCAGTTCAAATCTTCTCTTTGCTCATACGATAACTGTATCGACGTGGTCTTTGAAAGAAAGTCCACTGTCAAATGTAACGCCTAAATATTTTAGTACGTCTTCTCTTCTGGACACTTTTCTATTTATTGTGATCTTGTGGACATTTGCTTTGATAATTATATTGTCCAATGAACACTTTAAAGTGGAAGCTTTGTTTTGGGTATATCGGCGATCCTATGACGATACACAAATCATCAATCTTATCCGCCACTAGTTTGAGCGTTTTCGAAATCCTCTTCCTATCACCGTACTTTTCCTATATGCCATCTCATCGTCTGCAAATGTCAACTCTCTTTCTATTCCTGGTACCTCATTAGCTGCAATCCTACTTGTGTAGACATTAAAGAATACAAGTGAAACGACTGATCCCTGCGTAAACCAGGTGTGATAGTATATGGGTCTAAAGTCCAGGAGCGCAGGCACATCACAACCCTTGTGGACATAAAGGCATCGATAATTATCTACTTGACATTATGTCACGGTTATAATCATTACAGTGTTGAGTAAAGATATTGATGTGTCACAGATTGATGCAATATTTGTACTACATGTTTGTAAAAATATTTTAGCTGATAACAAATGCTTAAATAATAATGACAAGTTAGAAAAATTTTATATTGGTCACAGAACTATTTGAAAAAAAAAAACATAATTGTTAGAAAAGCAAACTACTGAAAGATGTTGATAAATGATGAAATGTACGTGTCAGTTAATCATGGCTAAATAACACTCAGAAAAAGTGTACATGATGGTACATTCAAAAGACAAGTTCAAGCATACAAACCAGTTAGTAAAACCTATATAATGGGGAACAATGTCACACCCAATTGGGCCTGCTATAGTTGGAGTGTCCATGAGTATGAAAAGGGATGATGGCACTTTATATTGTCTCACATCGGTTTAGAGACCATTTTTGGACTTCCGCAATAAATTTAAAAGAAAAAAATGTTTAATTAAAAAAAAAGGAACGAACCCTGCATATTTAAAAAAAAAAAAAAAATAATAATCCTACGTGTGCGAATCCAGTAAACTCTGTTCAACCGTTAAGGCTGTGTTCCTAACCATTTAACCACTCTGCCACTAAACTATTAACATTAACAAAACTTTTCAAGGTATTTCCTTTCCTCACTTCATACAGGAAAGCCTTTTCTTTCGGTCTTCCCTTGTATGACCATTCCTGTAATGGAAAATATAAATATGTTCAGCAAAAAAAAAAAAAAAAAAAATAATTTACTTTTGATATTTAAAAGCGTCAACACTATCATCTTAGAAAATTCTTTGTGTTAGTGTCTACAATATTCTGTACTGTCGTTAGTCAAATTTCAAATATCTAATGCTGCCAACTCTAACGTTCTCACTTCAAACATCGCAGTTTACTACTGGCGCAAACAGCCAATCACGAAAGCCGGCATTAAATTGTCCTAGTTCCACCTCCCCAGTGTCGTATGAAGCTGAAGCATGTAGTAGCAACACAATGGAGCAACTACACAATGGAGCAACTACACAATGGAGCAACTACACAATGGAGTAACTACACAATGGAGCAACTACACAATGGAGCAACTACACAATGGAGCAACTACACAGTGGAGCAACTACACAATGGAGCAGTTACAAAATAGAGCAACTACACAATGGAGCAGTTACACAATGGAGCAGTTACACAATGGAGCAGTTACACAATGGAGCAGTTACACAATGGAGCAACTACACAATGGAGTAGTTACACAATGGAGCAACTACACAATGGAGCAGTTACACAATGGAGCAACTACACAATGGAGCAGTTACACAATGGAGCAGTTACACAATGGAGCAACTACACAATGGAGCAGTTACACAATGGAGCAACTACACAATGGAGCAGTTACACAATGGAGCAGTTACGCAGTGGAGCAACTACACAATGGAGCAGTTACACAATGGAGCAGTTACACAATAGAGTAGCTACACAATGGAGCAGTTACACAATGGAGCAGCTACACAATGGAGCAGCTACACAATGGAGCAGTTACACAGTGGAGCAACTACACAATGGAGCAGTTACACAATGGAGCAACTACACAATGGAGCAGTTACACAGTGGAGTAACTACACAATGGAGCAGTTACACAATGGAGCAGTTACACAATGGAGCAGTTACACAATGGAGCAACTACACAGTGGAGCAACTACACAATGGAGCAGTTACACAATGGAGCAACTACACAATGGAGCAGTTACACAATGGAGCAGTTACACAATGGAGCAGCTACACAATGGAGCAGTTACACAATGAAGCAGTTACACAATTGAGCAGTTACACAGTGGAGTAACTACACAATGGAGCAGTTACACAATGGAGCAGTTACACAATGGAGCAGTTACACAATGGAGCAGTTACACAGTGGAGCAACTACACAATGGAGCAGTTACACAATGGAGCAGTTACACAATGGAGCAGTTACACAATTGAGCAGTTACACAATGGAGCAGTTACACAATGGAGCAGTTACACAGTGGAGCAACTACACAATGGAGCAGTTACACAATGGAGCAGTTACACAATGGAGCAACTACACAATGGAGCAGTTACACAATGGAGCAGTTACACAATGGAGCAGTTACACAATGGAGTAACTACACAATTGAGCAGTTACACAATGGAGCAACTACACAATAGAGCAGTTACACAATGGAGCAGTTACACAATGGAGCAAGTACACAATGGAGCAGTTACACAATGAAACAACTACACAATGGAGCAGTTACACAATGGAGCAACTACACAATGGAGCAGTTACACAATGGAGCAGTTACACAATGGAGCAATTACACAATGGAGCAGTTACACAATAGAACAACTACACAATGGAGCAACTACACAATGGAGCAACTACACAATGGAGCAGTTACACAATAGAACAACTACACAATGGAGTAGTTACACAATGAAACAACTACACAATGGAGCAGTTACACAATGGAGCAGTTACACAATAGAACAACTACACAATGGAGCAACTACACAATGGAGCAGTTACACAATAGAACAACTACACAATAGAGCAACTACGCAATGGAGCAACTACACAATGGAGTAACTACACAATGGATTAACTACACAATGAAGTAACTACACAATGGAGCAGCCACACAATAGAACAACTACACAAGTGTACTTTCAATCAACTCTGACACAGATGATCTTCCATGCTATGATGTCATTATCTTTTCTCTTGGTCTCTCTCTTCCTTTCTCCAGTCCAGCTATCCCACTGGTACCATGTACTCCAGTTTTATCCTTTTCACCACGAGACTAAAGAATGTAGATTGTCTCTTTTTATTGTGGGCAATCAGTTTTCTTAGTGGGCTAGTTTGTTTCAAGACATCTTCATTACTCTTTTTTATATGTCCAGTGTATTTTCATTATTCGTCGATAAAACCATTTCTCTGCGGCTTCCAAATAAATTTTCATTAATTTACCTACTGTCCAAGATGCACATCTGTATATCAGTATATGATTTATATAGCTTCTGAAAATTCGATTTGTCACATAAATTGACAAAAAAGATTGCATAAAATATTCTTTATTTTGTAAAATGCCACCTTTGCTTGAGCTATACGACATTTAACTTCCTTAATAGATCTTTTATCTGATGTTTTCAGGGTACCCGGGTACTTAAAAAGGCAACACTAGCCTGGTGGAAACTGCAGTCTGTAAGGGAAAAGTTTTGGGTCTCGTTCTATATTAGTTTTTTTTTTTTTTTTTAGAGCCAGGTCTTAACGCAATACAACACCTCACATAGGGGTCTCAACCCAGTGCTAGTAATGCCATCGTACCATCGCAGAATCTGGAGAGAACATTCGTGGGCTAAGATAGTATTTCTAGACGAAATGCCCCCGTTTAGGTTCCGATGCTCCATTGTGGGGCAAACAAGAACAGACCCACTGCCTCCGCAACAAGCATGTCGTAGGAGTCGACTAACTGGGAGCTTTCTTCTAAGTCAAGAGTCTATCTGCCCGAGTAGCAAGGAATGGCCAGCTGCACACAAACAAACCTGCAAAAGAAATGCATGTGCAAAACTCAGACCTTGACACAAAGCCTACGTCCAAATGGACGAACAACCAGGACCTTCCACAGAAACCTACGCACACACACATCTACAAAACGTGTTGGCTTGAAAAGTCTTTTTTAAATACCAGTTTAACAAATCGCGGATATGACACACATGGAATAAACAGTTTGATTTAATTGTAATGGATTACAACGTATACCTCCTGCTTGCGACCACTTGTTGGTCCCGCAATTAATTCTTTGATGAACTCGATGTCTTGTGGGCCGAGTCCATATTCGCCAAAAGTCTTTTCTACTTTCTGGTTGTTCTTGTAAATGTAATCAAATATATCCCTAGAGGCGTACTCGTGCTGTGAGGGAAAAAAATAGTGTGTGGTTCAATTATGTTTTTATTTACTGTAATTGTGTGTGTGTGTGTGTGTGTGTGTGTGTGTGTGTGTGTGCGTGCGTGTGCCCGCGCTTGCGTGCATGCAAATCACTGGATAAATGTCACCAATTTGCAGAACAAACATGTAACAATTGACACCAGCAGAGAACTACTATAAATACAGTGTTTGTTTTTAAAACCAACATTGTGTTACCGGTGCCACATGTGGACATTATCGATTAAAAAAAATGTAGAGACAACAGAAAGGAAATGTCTCCTACGAATTGTACATGTAACAAGTAGTTACAAGACCAGAAATGACGAAATAGTTACACTCAGTTTCAATATGGGACGCAATTTTTCGTTAATTTAAGGTCCCACTCGGGGGCCCTAATACAACGATTGAATGCGTTTCTGGGACTTCTCATCTGAACCGATGACACTTTGTGTCACTGGATGCCTATCGCTCGTTGTGCGGTCCTGGTGGGGTTGAACTTCATCATTCATTCATGACAATATTAGAAAAGACGTTGACACGAAACCAACGCTCAGCTATGTCAAGAGACAACAGATCAAATGGTTCAGAAATGTGTTAAGACTACTACCAGACTGTGCACCACAGAGATCTCCCTACACTCAGTCAAAATTGAAGCTAGTCTAGAGGTCAACAACTCAAACGATGGCTAGATGGAATATCTGAAGCCATAAATACAAGCATCTAGGTAGCACATACTAAGGCTATTATCCGATTTCTCATCATAACTTGATGCTGAATGGCAATAGAGGACTAGAGAAGAAAAAGAAGAAGAAAAAGAAGAAGAAGAAGAAGACAGAAGCATATCTGTAAATGTGTAGCCACTGATTCATCGTGTTTATGAGGTTATTTTACACACATTAATCGGCTCACGTTGAGTGATGTGGTTAGTCCCATACCAGCAGCCTTATTAACCAGGAGATTTCCCATAGTTCATAGTTATGAAAAAAATATTAGATTTGAAAAAAACTAAATTACTGACCTTCCATTTTTCATCGAGTTCGACCTCAAGTGATGGTATAACTTTGCTGTCAAATACATGTGAAAATGGACCATGACCTTAGAAGACAAAAACATAAAAAATAACATTAGGAGAGCAATTAGTTTTTGACCCCTCTGTGTGATTACATTGATTCATTGAAGGTTTAGGATTTAATTTATATCGACTGCAGCGCCTGGAACCGAGCATCCACACAGACAAGCTGACACATCTGGGTGTCCTTTTGTGTTTGCAAGGATATCACGGAGTAGAATACCCACTTATGTTGTGTGCTCTCACAGTATGCTTGTCAGACAGGACAGCAAGCGTATGAGCACATTCTGCAGACCTGCCCATTCTACCTACTACTTCAAAGATAAACCTGGCCTCAAGAGCAAGGTGCAGAGCAAGCTATAGGGAACCATGGAACCAAGCAGCTGACATGCGAGTTCATAGAGGCAACTCGCCTGATGGTCTGATCTGAGCATACGAAACCGATAGCAAAGAAGAAGAAGAAGAAGAAGAAGAAGAAGAAGAAGAAGAACTTATGTTAACAACTGAAAAAGTCGCTAAAGCAAGAGGAAACTAACGCATTGTGGGTAACAAAAAACTCATAATGGCCTCTCTTTAGACTGTGAACACTGAAGGGGAAGTGCTTATAGACAGTATCGTTTCTAGTGATTAGTGATTAGAAAGGATTATCATCACAGCACTCCGGACAGATCCATAAGTGCTCCGATCTCCTCCTCAAAAACTCCACAAGTGTAAAACAACTGATGACGCCTGTTCTGTGTTGGTTAATGAAACGTTTTGTTCCCTTAGTGAAATGTTCATTTCTTGCAGCTCCAGGCTGCACCCCCATGTCGATCAGTCTAGACAGGGATATGGAGTCATGTCCATTGGCGTGCTCCTCGGTACGGTAAGTGCAGCGCATGGCATTGATAACATCACTTCTGTCCAGTATTAGGCCAGCCATATCAACTGCAGTATCGTTTCTCCTAAAATAAAATCCTCGTCACCATCAATCGGCAGGTACTTCCTGGAACGTTGCTCTCTCCAGCCCTATGTGCTTTCCTAACCAATGCATGCGAAAAAAAAGATTACTGCACCTGATCCTGTCAGTGGTTGATTATGGCCTGGGAATGCTTACCGTCTCAAAGTGCCAGATGGACATACTAGAGCGCATACAAAACGCAGCAATGCGGGTCATTCTGGGTTGCACCAGAGACACCCCAGTGGTGTGTATGCGATACATCCTCGGTTTGCCCACTGTTGCAGGTAGGCACAAGGTGCTGCAGGCGAAGTCATATCTCAGGGTAGCTGCAGACACAGACCAACCTCTGCACGAAGCTCTGGGTGCAGTTAAGGGTCAGCGGCAGATAAGAGGAAAGTCATGGATGGCTCAGGCAGAAGATACAATCAGACAGGTTTGCATCCTTGAGAACATTAGGCGAGGAGAGGAATGGGTCAAAGTGTCATCTGAACAGTTAGACGTGTGTAGGGTCGTAATTACACTGAGCCGGGAATGCAGAGACTGACCACAGAGGTGGAAATTCAACAGTTAATTCAAGATAATGCTCGCTCGGAAGATTTGATCATTTACACAGACGATTCAGTGTCAAGAGGCAAAAGAAGTGCTTGGGGCTTTTAAGCAAAAGTTAATGGTCGACGTTTGGTGCAGGAGAGCCTAGCATATGATACCACAATATTCAGTTTAAGAATGGAGGTGGAGGCTGTCACTGCAGCTTTCCGCTCACTAGAGAACACGACACACACACACATCGTGATTGTAACTGCCTCAGAAAGCATACTGAGGAAGATCAGGACAGGCATGCTTCGTGCAGAGTGGCATGCCTCGCTGCAGAAGACACGGGTGAGGAGTACTGTCTGGATTTTTTCACCAGGGTATGCCGGTGTGTTGGGAAATGAACAGGGGACAGACTGGCTGGCTCTGCACAGCGTGGTGGAATACTGATGCATATTAAGGCAGACGTGGTTAGTGCCTTGTGGGAGAGCGTGTACAGTGCGGAGGAGCAGATTGATCACCACATTGTGGTGAGACTGATGCAGTTGGGAGTGACGAGAGGTTCTGGCAGATGCTCGAGGCTCAGAGAAAAGGCAAAACGGACGTTTAATCAGAAAGCTACTGGCACCATTAGTATCGGAACTCTTCGCTGGCTGCTGAAGATGGGGACGGAGCGCTTATGGAAATGCCCCGAGTGCTGTGATTTCAGTTGTTGAATCAAATCATATCAATCAACCAATGCATCTTCATTGGGTTGCATCCACATTCGCGTGTGTGGGTCTCTGCCCCGATTACCGGAAACTGTAACCTGCACGGGGTCGGATCTAAACTTAACGAGGCTCTACGCCATAAAGATCCCTGAGGATCCTGCCATTTTACATCTTCTCTTTTCATCAGACGATCGGCAGGGCACGCACGCTAGGTCTCTTCTTCTTCTTCTTCTTCTGCGTTCGATATCAGTCATGCTAAACATTGAGTCCCGTCTGGGTCATGAATAGGATTGTGCGTTTAAGGTCGCCACCGGTCCCCCATAGCTTCTCTCGCAATGTGGCTCCTTTGGGCCAGATCCACAGTCTTTGCTGGGAGAGGTTAGGGCAGTACTGTAGTATATGCTCAGGGGTCTGTCTTTCTGCTCCACAATCACAGGCAGCAGATTATTTTATGCCTATCCTGTACAAGTGTGCTCGAAGACCACAGTGTCCAGTCCGAAGTCTAAAAATTGATGTTTGTTCTTTCCTGTTGAGTTTGTTTATGCTGTCACTCTCTGGTCTGTAATCTCCATTCTGCCTTCTCCACTCCCGCTTGAAAGACTGCTTTAGCGCTGTTTTGGTTTCCTTGTAGCTGTGTGGTGGATGAGGTTGTGGAAGATTACTCCCAGCTTTTGCCAACTCATCTGCTCTCTCATTTCCTTGAATACCACAGTGGGCTGGTATCCACTGCAAGACCAGTTCTGCTTCCTTGGAGAGTAAGCCAATGTTGGTCCTTAGATCAGCAATTAGTTTGTCTTGTTTGTTGCTGGATAGTGCTTGGAGAACTGACAATGAGTCACTAAGTATAACAATTTGGTGCCCTCTGTGTTCTTGAGGCTAGGTCTCTTGATATGCCGTGATCTTATACAGTCTCAAGGTGTCAGTGACTCCTTCAATCCATATTCTTCTCGGTCTTCCCCTGCGTCTTGGTATTTCGATTTTTAGGTTGTACGCTCTTGCTGCTGGCATCGTTTCTTTCATTTTCATTAGACAACCAAACCATTTTATTCTTTGTTTGTCAATAAATGTTCACTAGGTTTGTTCCAACAGTTCTTGTGATCACGTCACTTCTCACTCAATCTCTTCTGGCTTTATTTTGAGCCATTCTCCAACATCTCACCTCACAGAGCCACTCAAACGACACAAGCTATTCTAACAAACCTGTAATTATTTTCTTCAGTTTAAATAGGCTACAACAAGTTAGAATAAATAAAAGATATTATACCCAAAATGGTACAACTTACGAAGTCGGGCTCAGAAAGAGAGTGGCTTTCCTTGACATTCATACCTGGCCGTGTCGTAAGACCTGTCCTATGCTGCGGGGATGTCAAGCCTAGTGAGCGTCCAGCAACACAACGAATTTTACGTGTTGTCGGTTTGAAGTGAAATACTTAATTAATAGAGGTAATGATTTAGAGAGACCAATAACGGAGGATATAGTTCTTTAAGAAGAAAGAGACAGGGATCAGCCAATATGATAGTCGACACAGGATGTCAAAGACACCTTTGACAGGCAAGTTTATGAAGCGGTAAGGTCAACAAGGCGCCAAGTTCGATTTCCGCCTGCTGTGACGGATCTCCAGCACGCTCTGACTCTTGTTCTGGTTGTACACTCTCTCAGATTGCTGTCCGTCTTACTCTTAAGGCTGTCCTCACATTTATATTGTTGCGTACCTCTTGCTCTCTTTTCTCCGACTTTGCCCTTTAGTATGGTTTTTAAAGGTGTGTTATGTCTTTTAATGTGGCCACATTTTTTCAACGGTCTCTTGTTCTTTCTGTAATTATCTTTTGATTCGAGGTTTTTTCAGAACTCATGTATTCGACTCTTTGTGTTTCCATGAAGTACAATGTATTCTGTATATCCACATTTCCAGAGACTCGGTTTGATTTTCTAATTGCTTGTTCATTATCCAAGTTTCTGCACCATATAGCAAGATTGAGTTTACATAACATTTGACCATTCTCATTTTTAGTGTTTCTGTTTATCTTTCTAGCTGTCGGTAATTAGTGCTAAACAGCACTAAGTACATCTTATAGAAGATAGTTTCAGCCATTCCTATTTTCTGTTTCGCTGCTTCCTCGTGTCTTGAATAATAGAAACTTGTTTCTTGTCTGCTACATGATGTAAAGTTAACAGTTGCATTCAGGGGTTGAATGGCAAAAAATGTCGAATGGCAAAAATACTATATGTTAAAAGTTAGTTGTGCATTCTTCTTCTTCTTCTTCTTCTTCTTCTTCTTCTTCTTCTTCTTCTTCTTCTTCTTCTTCTTCTTCTTCTTCTTCTTCTTCTTCTTCTTCTTCTTCTTCTTCTTCTTCTTCTTCTTCTTCTTCTTCTTCTTCTTCTTCTTCTTCTTCTTCTTCTTCTTCTTCTTCTTCTTCTTCTTCTTCTTCTTCTTCTTCTTCTTCTTCTTCTTCTTCTTCTTCTTCTTCTTCTTCTTCTTCTTCTTCTTCTTCTTCTTCTTCTTCTTCTTCTTCTTCTTCTTCTTCTTCTTCTTCTTCTTCTTCTTCCTCTTCTTCTTTTTCTCTTCCACCTTATACCTAATCGAAGTGTCGGGGGGAGAGGTAACATTCGTTGATGAGCTCTGCCAAGAGCACTATTAAGACTGATATTCATTTATGTAAGGTTGTTCTAAATGCTATCACTCCAATTTTTCTGAGGTCTTCCACTCGCTTTATACCCGTTGTAACTTTTTAGTGTGGCTCGCTGTGGCAGATAGTACCAGGGCATTCTTGTTAGGTGTCCAAACCACTTCATATGTTGTTCTTTAATAACCTTAAAGACTGGCTTTATTCCTAGCATTCGTCT